GCTTTTTGGTATCAGTGACACGGAACAGAAGTATTCAGTAAAGTTTACGGTGTGGTAACCCGGTGAGTGTCGAGTGACACGACACAAAAATTAGAAAGGGTCGTGTAACTCTGTGTTGAAGTGTCAAATGACGCAGTGAAAAGGCTTCTTTAGAGACTGAGTGTCATGACACTGGTGAAAAGGCAGTGTCATGGATACCACGGAGACGGTGTGTCTGAGAACAGAGATAAGGTGTCATGACAGATAAGTGTCATAACACTCCAACATCGTGTCATAAGGCACGATTTTATGACACTTGGATTGGTAGTGTCGTAAGACACCCGAAGATGGCAGTGACATATGACACCGAGGCACTAGGGTTATGATGTTTTTTTTACTTGATTGTTTGTGACTTTGTATATAAAATATGTAGCTATATCAACGATAAACTCGTTATGTTTTTATACGAAGTGTATCTATAGTAAAGATAATGAATTGTAGTGTTTATTTGTAATCCCGAGCTCTCCCATATTGCAGCACTAGTAACAGACTAATGAAACAAAAATATACTCTCCCTGTGTAGAGGTAATAGTGTTTTTTGTGTTAAACTAGTGTTTTGTAATAGTTTATTATCTTCCTGTTCTACATAATTTATTATTTCTGGAATATCGCTATTATCTTCCTGTGTAAAAACTGAGAGAAAGTGTTAAAAATTCTGCACATTTCCTTACTACTGTCGGTGAACTGACCCGAGTAACTTTTAAGTGGGCCTATCTTGTCCCTGATCTTACTTCTGTATACCTGAAAGAATCCTCTTGGGTTAGTCTTCGATTCTCTTGCAACTTTAACCTCATAGTCTCTTTTTGCTTTTCTTATTCCCGTTTTTATTTCTCTTTTACTGAATACATTGATAAATTAGACACATGTGCAACTCTTGGGTATCTTTATTGAGGAAACGTTTCGCCACACAGTGGCTTCATCAGTCCATACTTAGGAGAAACTTGAAGAACAGGAGGAGAATGAGGTAATCAGTCCCTCAACCTTGAGTCGATGTGGTCAGTCCATCAATCTTGAATAGAATACGGCATACGTGCTGAGAAGGAGCTTATAAACCGTTGGCAGGAGAGGTGCAGAAGTCATAGGTCGTGTAACATTTGTTCAATGTTGAAGTAGGTCGTGCCCAAGAATTAGGCAAGCGAAGAATTCCCAAGTATTAAGATCCCAAGAAGTTGCAGTGTCTGACAGGTTTGTAGATGAATGGTTCAGAGAACCGACATGTTGATAAATTAGACACATGTGCAACTCTTGGGTATCTTTATTGAGGAAACGTTTCGCCACACAGTGGCTTCATCAGTCCATACAAAGGAGAATCTTGAAGAACAGGAGGAGAATGAGGTAATCAGTCCCTCAACCTTGAGTCGATGTGGTCAGTCCATCAATCTTGAATAGAATACGGCATACGTGCTGAGAAGGAGCTTATAAACCGTTGGCAGGAGAGGTGCAGCAGTCATGGACTGATGAAGCCACTGTGTGGCGAAACGTTTCCTCAATAAAGATACCCAAGAGTTGCACATGTGTCTAATTTATCAACATGTCGGTTCTCTGAACCATTCATCTACAAAACTGAATACATTAATTTCTCTCATCTTTTGATTCGCCTACATATGCCTCTCCTTTGACCAATGAGATATTTTAATCTATTGTTTATTCATATAGGATCATTTTTGTTTGATATGATTTCCCTATTTGGAACATTTGTCTAAGCAGCTAGAACTATGCTCTGGAAAACGCCATATTGACAATCATCACCACCTACCTGACCCATAGTCAGGTCATTCCAGTTCAGCCCACCCAGATAATTTCTCAGTCCTTTGAAATAAGGCAAGTGGAAGTCAGAGACAGAGACGTGATAGCAATTATTAGGGTAATTCCATGATATATTAAAAGTGAGTGATTTGTGACCACTTTTCCCTAGCTCATCATTAACCTCAAAATTTTTGATTAGCGATTCCCTGCTGGTAATAACCAAGTCAAGCAGGTTGTTTCCTCAGTTGATTTTGCCACAAACTGTTTTAAAAAAACAAACCTGAATCGTATCAGGAAAGTCACCTGACTAAATTTCCTGTCAAATTGTACCCGTCAATTTGTCTAAAGTTAAAATCTCCCATTAGCATAACATTTTCGTATGCAAATGCCTTACGAATTTCGTCCCACAAAAGTTCACTGCACTTCCTGTCAAGGTTAAGAGGACTGTAAGTCTCACTCGAGATTACTTACACAGAATGACTCTCTTTTTTTAATGCTTCATTTTAATATATATTAAAGGTATTACCTATGTCTACGCTAATGCGGTTGATATCTTCGACTACTAGCACTACCACCACTAGAACTACCACCACTACCACAACCAACACTACTAACACCACCATTACCAACACCACCATCACCACCACTACTACCACCACCATCACCACCACTACTACCACCACCATCACCACCACTACTACCACCACCATCACCACCACTACTACCACCACACCACCACTACTAACACCACCACCGCCACCAACACCATCACTACCAGCACCACCGATACTACAATCACCACTACCAGCGCCTCCGATACTACAATCACCACTACCAGCACAACCGATACCACAATCACCACTACCAACACCACCATAATCACGACCGCCACTACCAACACCACCATGATCACGACCGCCACTACCAACACCACCATGACCACGACCGCATCTACCAACACCACCATGATCACGACCGCCACTACCAACACCATGACCACGACCGCCACTAATAACACCACTATGACCACGGCCGCCACTACAAACACCACCATGACCACGACCGCCACTACCAACACCACCATGACCACGACCGCCACTACCAACACCACCATGATCACGACCGCCACTACCAACACCACCATGACCACGGCCGCCACTACCAACACCACCATGACCACGGCCGCCACTACCAACACCACCATGACCACGACCGCCACCACCAACACCACCATGATCACGACCGCCACTACCAACACCACCATGACCACGGCCGCCACTACCAACACCACCATGACCACGACCGCCACTACCAACACCACCATGACCACGACCGCCACTACCAACACCACCATGACCACGACCGCCACTACCAACACCACCATGACCACGACCGCCACTACCAACACCACCATGACCACGACCGCCACTACCAACACCACCATGACCACGACCGCCACTACCAACACCACCATGACCACGACCGCCACTACCAACACCACCATGACCACGACCGCCACTACCAACACCACACATGACCACGACCGCCACCACCAACACCACCATGACCACGACCGCCACCACCAACACCACCATGACCACAGCTGCCACTACCAACACCACCATGACCACAGCCGTCACTACCAACACCACCATGACCACGACCGCCACCACCAACACCACCATGACCACGACCGCCACCACCAACACCACCATGACCACAGCCGCCACTACCAACACCACCATGACCACGGCCGCCACTACCAACACCACCATGACCACGACCGCCACCACCAACACCACCATGACCACAGCTGCCACTACCAACACCACCATGACCACAGCCGTCACTGCCAACACCACCATGACCACGACCGCCACCACCAACACCACCATGACCACAGCTGCCACTACCAACACCACCATGACCACAGCCGTCACTACCAACACCACCATGACCACGACCGCCACCACCAACACCACCATGACCACGACCGCCACCACCAACACCACCATGACCACAGCCGCCACTACCAACACCACCATGACCACGGCCGCCACTACCAACACCACCATGACCACAGCTGCCACTACCAACACCACCATGACCACAGCCGTCACTACCAACACCACCATGACCACGACCGCCACTACCAACACCACCATGACCACGACCGCCACTACCAACACCACCATGACCACGACCGCCACTACCAACACCACCATGACCACGACCGCCACTACCAACACCACCATGACCACAGCCGCCACTACCAACACCACCATGACCACGACCGCCACCACCACTACTACCACCATCACCACGACCGCCACCACCACTACTACCACCATCACCACGACCGCCACCACCACTACTACCACCATCACCACGACCGCCACCACCACTACTACCACCATCACCACGACCGCCACCACCACTACTACCACCATCACCACCACCAGAGAGACCTCAGTAAGTGTTACTTTTCAACACTCTTCCTTCATGCATAAGGAAGATCACTAACAAACTCCCAACTTTCTTCACGAAGGACTCAACAGATTCCTCAAAACAGTTTCTCGTCAGTTGGGTTGTATTGCAGAAGGCAGGCACTAACAGCTTTATCGATCAGGCCTGGTCTTCTACCGGTCAGCGGGGGCGATGACCTCCTGAAGTGACTTCAGGTAAACTTGAGGTAAGTGGTGGTTGTGGTAGTCGCAGCAGCAGCCACCGGTATCCTGGTGTTTTCTCTGAAGTTGCTCAGAATTTCCAGTTGTTTGCGTTCACCTGCACCGCTGTTTCCAGAAGTAGAACTAGCGGTGACTAGTATTAGAACCACTATATATTACACCTCTGTGGGTAGCGATGGAGTAACAAGAGTCGTTGTGCTAAAAAAGTAGAGGTAGTTTATAATTTTTGTCTATTGTGCACTTTCAGCTCTCCTCTAAATTATATTTAATTTTTTCAATATGGTCACAGACCGGGCCGCGGGGGCGTTGACCCCCGGAACTCTCTCCAGGTAAACTCCAGGTAATATATTTTTTTACCTTGTTTCATGTCGGCAGGGAGAGGGAGGTAGGGAGGGAAGGGAGCAGAAGGCTCCCTTCCCTCCCTACCTCCCTTCATACATCATGATAATACACGAATGTCCTTAATGAAGATTGAAGTAAAGAGTCCTCATCAGAATACCTCGAAGTGTACTATAAAGTCTACCGCTATCTGCGTGCCCAGTGTACTCCCCATGTATACCCAAGTACCACACAAGCCTAGCTCTTACCGTCTTCGAGCGTAGTTGCAGTTACAGGGACCGCTGAGGGCCCGGCCCCTTGAGTGTTGACTGCCTGCACCTCAACCACGTACTCAGTGTAGGGCGTCAGCTCCGTCACTAGCGCTGAGCAGCACCCTCCTGAAGACGGCGACGTGGGCGACGATGAAGACAAACTCGAAGATGATGAAACAGGCCAGTTCTCTGCTTCCACGGTAACGATCTTGTACTGGTCGCTGGATATGCTGTGGGACGAACAGGTGTGTTTCAGATAGATGGACTGAAGGGGTGGCAAGGAAGACTCGTAGATGAGTGGACTAATAGAAGGCTGTGTGGGCTGATAGATGGATGGGTGTATTGACAAATGGATGGCTGGGTTGATGGGGTGTGGGTAGATTGACAGGCGTGTGGGGAGATTGTCGGGTGTGTGGATGATTGTCGGGTGTGTAGGGAGATTGTCGGGTGTATGGAGTGATTGTCTGATATATGGGGAGATTGTCGGGTGTGTGGAGAGATTGTCGGGTGTGTGGAGAGATTGTCGGATGTGTAGGGGGAGATTGTCAGGACAGAGAGCTGTGTGAATGGACAGAGCTTTTAAATGGGCCGGGGAGCTGATTGTTGCATCAACGAAATCATTGAGTGGTGAGTGGACTGATAGATAGGCTGATATACTGACATGTCGGCATGTGGCTGATAGATGGGTGGGTTTATTATCAGTGGGTGAACTGACAGAGGGGTCATACAGTTACAAACAGACTGGCTGATGGAAATTTTGTTTAATCTTCTTAAACAAAATAACAACTGAGAGAGCGTGAGTAGTGCAAGTGGGATGGAAATGCATGTGTGTTTGCGTATATGCTTATTTTGTATGTCGGTGTAATGAATATCAATGTATATATAATGTGTATGCAAATTTTGTATGTGTACATATTGCGATCCATGAATGGGGCCCAATGTACATTCGATGTATATAATGTATTTTATCTTTTCATATAATTTTACATTGTTGATATTTTCAATATTAGCTAAATTGAAAGTATCATGCCTTATATAATTGTTTGACTTAGTTTATGTCTCACGAAATCGTAATGACAAGATTGCAAACAAACCATACCACGGGCGGGATTTGAACCCGCGGTCAGAGTCGCAAAACTCCAGACCGTCGTGTTAGCCACTGGACCAGCTAGCCACAATAAGATTCATCCAACTAAGTATATTTCTACACCATAGGAAAGTTAGCATAGGCACCACTGTGACCACTGTGTAGAAATATACCTAGTTGGACGAATCTTATTGTGGCTAGCTGGTCCAGTGGCTAACGCGACGGTCTGGAGTTTTGAGACTCTCTGATCGCGGGTTCAAATCCCGCCCGTGGTATGGTTTAGCTTATGTCATTAGGTAGGATGCAACAATTTACACTTTATTCTGTGCTCATTGTACGAGTGTTGAGTAGCTGCCCGCATTGGCGAAGTACCTCAAATAATCTAACTTCCTTTGGTCAGGAAGATAGATTATTTGAGGACGTTCAGTCAGTCACTGGTTAAGTCGAGTTGTGTCTTGAAACAGCATTTGGAGCACATACTTACATTTACACACACTCACTTGTATATATATTAGCATTATGTTTATTGGGCAGCAGAAGTCACTTCTGCGGCCCTTTGCTGTACTTTATACAAGATTGATGGACTGAACACATCGACTCCAGGCTGAGGGACTGATTACTTCATACTCCTCCTCTCCTTACATTATTCTCCTTTGTATGGACTGATGAAGCCACTGTGTGGCGAAACGTTTCTTCAGTAAAGATTCTCATATGTTACATAAGTGTCTCAATGTATAACTTACTTTTGCAATACGAGGGAAGTGTAGGAACTTATATATTATATAAAGTATTTACTTAGATATTGTCCACCTAGGCAACTTTAACTTTGTTAATAAACATATCTTAATTTTAAATTCGATTAGTTAGTAACCTTCCAGTTGAGAACCTAAAGTACTATTCAACTTTCTGTAATTATAACATAAGAACATAAGAAAGAAGGAACACTGCAGTAGGTCTACTGACCCATGCGGAGCAGGTCCATGTACCCCCGCGGATTAGACTAATGTTCCCCCCCCCCGGATTAGCCCAATGACCCACCCAGTCTGGTCACCTCCACTCAAGCATGGAGCACTGCACCAGACCCAGCAGCACAAGCTAGTCAGGTCCAACTCACACCCACCCACACCCACTCATGTATTTATCTAACCTATTTTTAAAACTACACAACGTTTTAGCCTCAATAACTGTACTCGGGAGTTTGTTCCATTCATCCACAACTCTATTACTAAACCAATGCTTTCCTATATCCTTCCTGAATCTGAATTTTTCCAACTTGAAACCATTGCTGCGAGTCCTGTCTTGGCTGGAAATTTTCAGCACGCTTTTTACATCCCCTTTATTTATTCCTGTTTTCCATTTATACACCTCGATCATATCCCCCCTAATTCTACGCCTTTCGAGAGAGTGCAGATTCAGGGTCCTCAGTCTATCCTCATAGGGAAGATTTCTGATACATGGGATCATCTTTGTCATCCTCCTCTGTACGTTTTCTAGAGCATTTATATCCATTCTGTAATACGGTGACCAGAACTGAGCAGCATAGTCTAAATGAGGCCTAACCAAGGATATATAGAGTTGAAGAACAACCTGAGGACTTCTACTATTTATACTTCTAGATATGAAGCCAAGAATTCTGTAAGCCAGTGTGACTTTGTCAATGGTCCAAGTCGGACCGAAACGTCGTCGTAAGCTTCTGTCTTTTATGTGCGGGTTATTTGTGTATCTGTTAGCTTTATTGCGAACACTAATGAACTGTTGTCTTGGTTTTAGATTACTGCTAACCAGAACTCCTAAATCCTTTTCGCAATCAGTAGTATTAAGATCTACATTATTTAGTTTATATGTGGCATGGTTATTTAACTGTCCAACATTTAGAACTTTGCATTTGTCAATATTAAACTGCATCTGCCACTTCTCCGATCATTGCATCAGTCTATTCAAATCATCCTGGAGTGCTCTAGTGTCCTCATTAGAATGAATTGGACGGCCTGTTTTGGTGTCATCGGCAAATTTGCTGATGTCGCTATTTATTCCCTCATCTATGTCGTTTATGTAAATTGTGAACAACAACTGGCCCAACACTGACCCCTGAGGAACACCGCTTGTGACGTGCCCTCATTCTTATTTCTTTCCATTTATGCAAACTCTCTGCTGCCTATTTGTCAGCCATGCCTCTACCCAGGAAAAAATTTCTCCTATTCCGTGTGCCTTAAGTTTCCTCCATAGTCTCTGGTGTGGAACTCTATCGAAAGCTTTGCTGAAGTCCATATACACAATATCATATTCATTACCATGATCTACCTCCTCAAACACCTTAGTGAAAAAAGTTAGTAAATTCGTAAGACAGGAACGCCCCTTTGTAAAACCGTGTTGAGATTCATTAATCAATCTGTGCCTGCCAAGATGGCTACGAATTGCTTCGGCAATTATTGATTCCATAAATTTTCCCACTATGGAGGTAAGGCTTATTGGTCTATAGTTTGAAGCCAAGGACCTGTCACCTGCCTTGTAAATAGGTATTACATTTGCCATTTTCCACTTATCAGACACTATGGCAGTTTGTAGTGATATGTTAAAAAGATTAGCCAAAGGTATGCTAAGTTTCTCTTTACATTCCTTTAACACCCTTGCAAACAGTTCACCAGGGCCTGGGGATTTGTTAGGTTTTAGTTTCTCTATTTGTCTGAGGACCATGTCTCTAGTTACTGAAATCGTACACAGTTTATTATCATCCTGTTCTACATAATCTATTATTTCAGGAATATCGCTAGTATTTTCCTGGGTGAAAACTGAGAGGAAGTAGATATTTAGAATTTCACACATATATCCTTATCACTGTCAGTGATAAGGATATGTGTGTGAAATTCTAAATAGAGTTACTCTTAAGTGGGCCAATCTCGTCCCTAATCTTACTTCTGTATACCTGAAAGAACCCTTTTGGGTTAGCCTTTGAATCCCTTGCAACCTTAGCCTCATAATCCCTTTTTGCTTTTCTTATTCCTTTCTTTATTTCTCTCTTTAATTGAATATATTGATTTCTTAACTGCCCATCCCCTCTTTTGATACGCCTATATATGCCTCTCTTTTGACCAATGAGATGTTTTAATCTATTGTTCATTCATTTGGATTATTTTTGTTAGATCTAATTTCCCTACTCGGAACAAAAGTTGTCTGGGCAGCTAGAACTATGCTTTGAAAAAGTCATATTGGCAACAAAGATCACCTACCTGACCCATAGTCAGGACATTCCAATTTAGCCCACCCAGGTAATTTTTCAGTCCCATGAAGTCGGCCAAGCGAAAATCTGGGACAGAGATTTTATTACAGTTATCTGGGTAATTCCATGATATATGGAAACTAAGTGATTTGTGATCACTTTCCCCAAGCTCATCATTAACCTCAAGATTATTAATTAGTGAATCTTTGTTGGCAAGAACCAAGTCAAGCAGATTGTTTTCTGTAGTTGGTTCTGTCACAACCTGTTCTAAAAAGCAATCATGAACCGTATCAAGAAAGTCACTAGACTCAAGATTTCCTGTCATATTGTTCCAATCAATTTGTCTAAAGTTAAAATCTCCCATTATCACATTTTCATACCTAGATGCCTGATGAATTTCGTCCCATAACAGCTTACTGCCCTCCCTATCAAGGTTTGGGGGCCTATAAATCACACCCAGAATTAATTTGTCACGTCCCTCGAGAAACTGTAGCCAAACAAATTCTGTGTTCGATGTTTCTAATCTTATATCATGTCTAAGACAACAATTTAAATTTTCTCTGGGCATACATCGCCACACCACCACCCTTCCTGTTGACCCTATCAGTGTGGAATAGTTTATAACCCAGTATTTTGCTTTCAGAAGGCATTTCTCTATCTTTCAGGTTGAACCAGGTCTCTGTTATACCAATAATATCTATATTGCCTACACTTGCAAGTAATCTTTGCTCATCTATCTTATTTCTTAGACTCCTACAATTTGTATAGTAAACCTTAAGGGAGCTAGTCACTCGTTGCCCTCTACTATCTCTCTTTGTTTTTGATCAATTAATTTGCCATTACTAGCAACTTTATTTTGAATATTGTCTTCTAAACATATCCCTGAGGTATCCCGGTAATAACTTCTGTTTTTAACCCTAATGCTG